AAAATACGTGTATTGATTGAGCAATGCATTTGCATACATTGTTTTGTGTGGGAGGAGATAGGGGATGTACTCCACGGTTTGGGGAAGATAGGGGATGGACCTCTAAACCGCGATTTTGTTTGGGAGGAGATAGGGATGGACTCCATTAGCATCACTTTTATGTGTGCTTATTTATATAGAAGTGTTTTTATTGATACACCAGCTCAGTCGGGCCAGGCCTCGAGGGCTAATCAGGTTTTGATATGAGCATGAGTCTCATTTGTTTTGTTGATATTGAAAGTAATGTGAATATGATATATAGTTCACTGTTGTAAGTTTGGCCAGGTTCTGAGTCATGTTGATAATAATGGAAAGTGAAATGTGTCTTAGACATTAGTGTCATGAGACTGTATAATGATGTAATTGATTATCTTGGTTAACCATCTATTGAATGCCATAGCTTTATTCATTGCTTATATTTGGTTTAGTATTTTTCTACTGGGCTGTGGCTCACCCTTTATGGGAACATCATTTTCAGGTTCAGGTGATAAGCTACCTCCAAGGACTTAGCTTGGGAGGATTTGGCTTTTGGATTTGAAGAAGACTATCTTTAGTTAATTGTTTCTATTTGTTAGTACATGTAAACATTCAAGCCTAGGGCTTTTCTTGTATTGAGTTAGAACTCATATTTTTGTGTCCAAGTGTTGGCTTGGAAAGATGTAAGCCTGTAGGGCATTTTATTCGATGTTACATGTAATGCTTTTATTTAGTAATACTCTGATGAATGAATTAATAAATTGTTTTCTTTAAATAATGCATGTCAATGATATATATATATATATAATGGGTTTATTTTGAGGGCGTTACATAACTAGTTTAAAAAACAACCCTAAATGTTAACCTAACAATTTTATTGGGCTAAACATGTTTACTTTAAAGACAATGTCATATGTACCTACTTTTTTATTTATTTCTCACGTGAGGTATGAGCCTCATGTGAGTGACAAAGTAAAATAACAAATGGGTAAATTACACTTTATTTCCGTAAAGTTTTACTTATTTTTTATTTTGGCCCTTTAAATTTAATTTTTTTCATTTTGACCCTTTATGTTTTCAATTTTTCTCACTTTAATCCTTTATATTTGTAATTGTTCCCACCTTGGCCCTTCATGTTTGTACTTCTTCCCACTTTGGCTCTTCATGTTTGCAATTCTTCTCACTTTACTTCTAGACTAACTTCCATCCAAAAAAGTAATAGAATTTGTCACATCACTAACACATCAGCTCTATATGTGATGTAAAAAATTCACTAAAGATGCAAAAAATAAAAAATAAAAAACAAAAAAATTGAATTTTTTTTATCTTTAGTGAACTTTTTTTTTCAAAATTATTCATAAACATTATTACATTATAGATGTATCTAGATCAGATGCAGCTAAAAAAATTAAGACAAATTTAACTAAAAAAAGAAAAAAGTTCACTAAAGACGAAAAAAATGATAATAAATTTTTCATTTTAGAATTGACAATACAGGTATTTGAGTCAGTTTATTTTCATTTTTTTTCGTCTTTAGTAAACTTCTTCCTTTTTTTGGTTAAATTTGTTTTTATTTTTTTAGCTGCATCTAATCTAAATGCATCTATAATGTAATAATATTTATGAATAAATTTGAAAAAAAAGTTTACTAAAGACTAAAAAAATAAATAAATTTTTTTGTTTTCTATTTTTATTTTTTGCATCTTTAGTGAATTTTTTACATCACACATGGAGCTGATGTGTTAGTGATGTGGCAGATTCTGCTACTTTTTTAGATGGAAGTTAGTATAGGAATAAAGTGGGAATGATTGCAAATATGAAGGGCCAAAGTGGGATGGATTGCAAATATGAAGGGCTGAAGTGGAAAAAATTAAACTTAAAGGGTCAAAGTGAGAAGGATTGCAAACATAAAGGATCAAAGTGAGAAAAATTAAACTTATAGAAGCCAAAATGGGAAATGAGTAAAACTTTAGGGGGACAAAGTGTAATTTACCCATAACAAATAAAATTTTAAATACCTCTAAGATCACCCTTAGAGCATCCTCAGCAGCTTATTTAAATTTTATCCTAAAATATTATTAAAAAAATTATTTTTTATTTTAGGAATCACTTTTTCATCTACTTCTCCCAACAAACTCCATGTTCTTTATCTATTCTATTAAAATAATCTTTTTAATTGTTTTTAAATTTGAATATTTTTTAATAATAAAATAATTAAATAGACACAGAAGAAGAAAGAGCAGCAGAAGTTGGGGGCGGTCGACCGTCCGGATGTCCGGGAGACGATTGGCGAAGCAAGTTTTGCCCATATCACTTCATTTAGGACATCCCACTGGGCGACCACTGTCAGATATAAAGGAGCTACAATGACTCCCTAGAAATAAGAAGTGACTGTAGCAATCTTAAATTTAAGGGGTGGTATAATAGATGTCCTAGGGAACGATTTTTGAAAAATCAACTCCTTAATTTAGCAAAATGCTATTATAAGTGATATGCTGAGAATGCTCTTACATCACCATCTTTAAAAAAAAAAAAAAAAAAATAAAAAAAAAAAAAAAAAAAGAATACAAAAAAAAAAAAAGGATCACCTATTTGCTTTTAAATAATTTATTTATACACATCCTTTACCAAAACTGTCTCAATTTTATAATATTTAAAAAAATTATTTTCGCCTGTTTTTTCTTTGTACATATCTATATGTTATGAAAGACTTAAAATTTATTTGACTAATTTTATTGCAATAATTCATAATGAAATTGTAATGATTCATATATCTATCTATCTATACTATTATAAAGTGAACACATAATATGGTGTCCTGAAGCTTGCTTTACTCTCCTCATGCCATGTGGCAGTGTTTTTTATTTTTTTAAAAAAAGTTAAAAAAAGAGATGGGCAAGGCTTGAACCCATGACCATGGGTTTAAGTATGATGACTCATACCACTTAAGCTAAGTACACATTATAATATTAATTTCATTATTATTTTCTTTTATTCCTATTTATTTAATTTGCACACACATCGTGTGTGTGCCCAACCGCTAGTACTATTATAAAGTGAACACATAATATGGTGTCCTGAAGCCTGCTTTACTCTCCTCATGCCATGTGGCAGTGTTTTTTATTTTTTTAAAAAAAGTTAAAAAAAGAGATGGGCAAGGCTTGAACCCATGACCATGGGTTTAAGTATAAAGACTCATACCACTTAAACTAAGTACACATTATAATATTAATTTCATTATTATTTTCTTTTATTCCTATTTATTTAATTTGCACACACATCGTGTGTGCCCAACCGCTAGTATATGTATATATATACATACATACATACATTTTATTCAATAGTTTGCAATATAACCACAATAATTTGTGACCAAAACTACGTTTTATGGCGTGCCCTTTAATTTCCTAAGCAAACGTCGCCTAGTTGATTTTCATAATCCTTTCCTCCAAAACATTTCTTTGAAACAATCTTAACCTTTGATCAAGAGTTGACACGCCCGTTCTAGCAATTTTAAGCGGTCGTGGTATTGATGTCCAGCCGGTGTGCCCACGATGTGCGGCGTCGGATGAAATGCTTGAACACATGTGCTTTCAATGCCCTTTTTCCAAGCATATTTGGCAAGCTTCTTCAGTCTTGATTTTGATGCAGGTGAGGCAATGTCAGTCAGGGAATGGATCAAATTTTGGTTCAAGCAAGCTCCGGACGAGGATGCAATAATTGAGTCTGCCAAAATCCTTTGGGGCATTTGGTTGCATAGAAATAAGGCTGTCCACGAACAGATTGTGGACAGTCCATCACAATTAATCATTTGGAATGGTCGGCTATCAGGCTCAGTTTGACAATTCATCTACCACCAAGAGTGGATGGCCGAAATCAAGCAAATGTAATAGGTAATTGTTATGTTGTTATTAATAATTTATCTTAGTGTCCAGATAGGTGTTTTGACAAGATACTTATTGATGTTTTGACACGACAGTTTTCTTTTTTGGCATCTTCAGCAACTATCGCGGAAACTCGAGCGTGTTTTGAAGCAATTTACTGGTATGTACAAAGTCAAGTGAAGGCTATCACCTTGCTTACTGATTGTGTACAATTGGTAAATGAACTCCAACATGAAGAAGCTGCTAATTGGGATATTATAAATATATTACGTAGATATCAAAACCTTGTGTAACTCTTTTGATTTCATTTGTATTACTAAGGTACCTTGAAACATGGTAATGTTGGCGCATATGGCGGCCAAAGCAGTTTCTCAAAGAAACTGTTAATTTTGGGTTGGGCTATTGTATAATTATGGTTTCCATCTAATGCATTTTACTCTTCGAAAAAGAAAAAAAGAGAGTTTTTACACACTTAAAAGGTAAGGCCATATTTGTTTGAGTTGACATTATTTTTAAAATATAATTAATAATCCAACAAAATACTTAATCTAATATATTTGACTTGTAAAATTAAAAATCTTGACATACAATCCTGCATATGGGAGGATATACTATTGAATCTCAAAAAGATGATAAGATACAAAATAGAGGGAACTAAAGAGAAATTTAGACTAATAAGTTAAATTACAAAATTAATAAGATTTTATCAAATTGTTCATCATAATCCCAACTTGAGTTAACCCAAATATGAAATGAGACAAATAATTCAAAGAGATTAATAATCACAAGATTAACAGTTGTTGGTCTTATACTAATCTCATTTAATTCAATACACCAAAACAAAGATCCGCTTAAGGTATATAACTAATAATAGCTTAACCAGTAAAACAAATCGAAAAGTAAAGTGAGTAAATATTATCTAGGAAGAAGAAACTCTTTCCTAAACAATTAGTAAATTCATACGTAAACCCCATTAAAGCATACATACATTCAATGCTAATGTGCAATGCAATTGTTAGGATAACGTCTTAGAAAATGTATTAGTTTAAAACCTCACTTGACAGACAAGCCAAAGCGTCTATTCAACACCATTTTGCTCCAAATACAATCCAAAAATATTTCTATTAGACTCAAATCTTTTTCCTCCTATGGGTCTAGAAGCCACATATCCTTTAAAACCTTCATCTCCGGAACCAACTTGGATGACAAAGTAGCTTCAAATACTAAGGCTACATCTCGTAACATTCGTATATGGTCTGGAAAGACAGACTCTCAAAGTCGTTGTATGTCCTCTTCATACTGGATATCCTACAACAAAACATTCAAACAAATATATAATTATTTCATGTCAAATTTTATTAACTACAAACAAAATAAACTGAATAAACCGGATGATACAAAACCTGTTTTAACTTTCCAAAGTGAGCAAAAGACTTCCTAATTAGAGCCAAACAATCCCTCGATGATGATTCATCCACTGAAAGTATTTGCCGGGAGAAGTTTTTTGGACGATTCAAGGCTTCAAATGCATCAATATGGGCTTTGATTTTTGATAACTTGCTGTGATTTTGAATAATCAATTCCCAAGATTGTCCGAACATCAGTGGTCTGAAAATCCTTCTTGGTGTCCCTTTCACCAAATCCCACGCATTGCATGTCAAAGATCTCCTCATTGTTAACGTCCAAAATAATGGAAACGTATTCAAGTTGTCAAAGAAACTGCAGAAAAAGAAAAAAAAAAAAAAAAAAAGGAAAAAAAAAAGGATTTATGTAAATATAAATATAGTATGTCACATGCTCCAAATTATAATATGATAAGAGTACGCTTCTTGTGGGAAAAAGTGTGTCATTTGGCATCATTTTAGGCATCCATTTGAAAGGGCCTTTCTAATTTCTGAAGATTGGAGGGCGATTTGTAATGTATAAGGATTTGTGTGTCTTTTTCCGTTTGGGCATTTTGTTTGCTTCCCTTGTATAGAACTCCTTGTCCTGTTTTTGTATTTGTTTATTTTTTAATCAATATATATCTTACTCTGTTGCTTATAAAACAAAAGCATATACAAATAAGAGATAGGTGTTTGAAACTAAATTGCTTACTTTTTGAATCCGTTGCTAAGGTCCTTCAAAAACGATTCCATATCCCCTATTTTGTAAGCATATCCACAAGCTGCATTCATTTCCCTATTCTAACTCTTTCCAATTCAAGTTGCCACCTTTGAGATACTATTACAAAAAAACATTTCAGTCAAAAAAAAGAAAAACAGTACAAGTAACTCCAAATTAATTTGTGATTAAAAAAATACTTTACCAATAACACTACACTACAAGAAAACCGACATACAGTGACGTTTTTTTTATGGCGTTTTCAAAAACGTCGTGAAATCTGTCCAGATATTTTAAATTTTAAAAAAATTAAACTAAACCATCTCGTTTTGTGGGCCGGTTATTTCCTTTAAACAGTGGCTCAACTCAAGGCTACGTCTTCTATTCTGATCGAACAGAGGCATGACTTTAGGAAGAGAGATAAATCGAGGCGTTGGATCTTCGAGGCATCGGATCTTCGATCTCTTCGATCTCCATCAATTCTTCGGTTGTTTGATCTGAAAAATGTTGTTCTACTCTTGATTTGAGCGTATATCTTCCTGATTGTTCGAATCCCTATGGTCTAAATCGATCTAGGGCTCAAGGTTAGGTTTTCTGGAGCGTATATCTTCCAGATTGTTTGAATCCCTATGATCTAAATCGATCTAGGGCTCAAGGTTAGGGTTTTCTGATATAGATTTGCCACATTCACACAAGATCTATAAAATTTCATGGCTAAATCTAACGATTTGGAATTGTTTTCTCTCGATTTAGTTGATTTCCAGCTTTTTTTGCTTTTGTTTTGTGTTTTCTCCTTTCGTTTTTGTTGCTTTACTCTTTCTAGTCCTTGTGTGGAAAACTCTTCTCTTTCATCAGATTGAGCAGCAACAATGGTGAATCGATTTATCTAGGGTTTCGAGTACGATGTTAGTGTCTCTGATCATGTACGGGACAAGCAGGTGGCGTTGGATGTGGATCGTTGGAAACAGTGAGTAGAAGCTCAACGATGCAGAGAAAAATTGTGTATTGAAGGTGGAAGCAACGGTGGGCTTCTTATTGGGGCTTGCATTAATCAGGTATAGCGGTGTTGATTCATTTTCTTGGTGGCATTTTTTGGGTTTATTCATTTGTCATAATACATCGTGTCTATAAACTAAATTGTAAAAATTTGTGGTTACAGAGACCTAATCTTTTTGGTTGTGCTCTTGCTCATGTTGGTGTTATGGATATGCTTAGATTTCACAAATTCACTATAGGTCAGCCAGCAATCTGTGGGTTCACTTGGTTGATTTATTTTAGTATCACTTGTTGATTTTTAGGTTTCTTTTCTAGGTCATAGATGGACATGTGACTTTGGCTGCTCAGAGAAGGAGGAAGAGTTCCATTGGCTTATCAGGTGAGTGAATTTATTTTCATTGAATTATCTGCCTGTATAATGTTCTTACTTTGAAATTATAATTTTTTAGATGGAGTATTTTTTTTCTGTTTGATGTAAAATATGTTAATTAATCTCGAGTAAGTTATTTACTTCTGTTATTGTTTGGCGTTCACCTCTTAATCACAAATTATTCCTCATTTCCAACTTTCAAATTACATTTTAGTAATACTAAAATGCAGTTGACTTGCATACTTTGTTAAATGAAAAATATGTTCTATGTATTATTTACTGAAATCTGAAACTGATTGATTAACTGTGTCTGTTTAAATGCATTTTTATTTGTTGCTTGTTAATTGATCTGTTCGTGTTTTTATGGTTAAATTGCAAATTGAAGGCCTTATCGGCGGCCGAACCAAGAATTGATTGATGATTTGTGATCCTTAGAATTAATGTGATTTTATGGCATGTTTAGTTAATACCATCAACAGCTTGCTAGAGCTTACAACAAGAAAGTCAATCCAAGAGATTTTCAAGTCGGCGACCTAGTCCTAAGAAAAGTCGTCGGTAACATATATATATACTGAATTGAGGAGGTTACAATTTAGGAAGGTAGAATAACAATAAAATCAAATATAAGGAAATATGCCTAAAATCCCGTAATCACACAATATACTGGATTCATACAATATACAGGATTCACATATTCCAACAAGGACCGTCTAGGTTAGATCTGTGTGAGGTTCTATGATTGAATTGATTATATTAAATTATATTGTGTGGAAATAACTGAATAAAGTTCTATATTTATATCTACAAAAATTATATACTTTAGGAATTGTCTATATTGAGTTCCAGTAAAGCATATGCAAAAACTCTATCATAGAACTTACATTCAGCAAAAAGAAATCTAGTAGTCTTATCAAAGTAAGGAATGATGGTCTTTTATTACAAGGGAAATTGGAATAATATAAATTGAAGTTTTATTTTTGGTACAAATGATAAAAGTGCACATTAAACATTTTTTTTTTTGTTGTTTTTTTCACACTACTTATCTTAGGAACTATTTTTTATAATTTAACCCCTAACTATTACTTTTCACTTTTTAAATTCTCATGTAATTTAACAGCACAATATTAAATGCTATTAAATGAAATTATGAAATGGATGTTATACATGTGCATTATTCTATTTATGTATTTGGTTGTTTCCAGGTAATTAAGAACCAATCTGACCTCATTGATAAAAGACGAGTGTTTTACTCAGACATAAGAGATGACAATCCATTGAATTCCATTGTGTCAAAAGTGAAAATTGTGCAACTTGCGGCAAAAGTATGACCATCACTTACTTCTGGCTACTGATATCTTTGTCTGTTTGTTTTTATTCTTATGATTATTTTTGTCTCTGTTTGTGTGTGTGTGTTTCTAAAACTCTGTTCCTGTTTATTGCTTTCCAAGTTTCTGAAATGTTTTCTCTGTGAAACAGGCTGACTTGGCTGAAAAAGAGAATACTTTTGTCTTCAGACTTGTATTATGATATGGCATATTCATTGCCACACTTTTCGTTTACAACTCTAGATACAGCTACAGGTTAGTATGTTTACCCAAGGACTACAATCATTTTTTAAAATGAATTCTTCTAATAGATGTTGTCTGCTTCAGCAAATCCAGAAAACTTAAAGATGGAGAGTGATGCATCCTCAATAAGTGAAGCTAGTTCAAATAGTGCACTAGGAGACAACTGACGCTGCAAAGTCTTCCCAAGTTTCTAGATGTCAAGAGTATCGGATGACTTTACTAGATTTATACTCTGGATGTGGAGCCACGTCAACTGGTCTCTGCCTTGGAGCATCCGTATCTGGTTTGAAACTGGTTACTGTAAGTCATGAAGTGATTGTAAATGTGATTTTTGTAAAACTTGTTCTTCTGTGCACTCTTCCATGCAAAGGCTTATATATGTTTTATTTGTATTTGTTTATTAGAGGTGGGCAGTGGATATAAATTCTAATGCATGCGAAAGTCTAAAGTTGAACCATCCTGAAACTGAGGTAGTATATTTGTTCCCTTTCCTTTACTTTTTTTATTAGTAATTTATATATATATATATATATATATATATTTATCAAGGACAAGTCCAAAATGATTATAGGTGAGAAATGAAGTAGCAGAAGATTTCCTATCTTTGCTTAAGGAGTGGGAAAAGCTTTGTAAAGAATTTCAATTGTTGGGTTCCCATCAATCAGAAGATTCCAATTCTGAACAAAACAGCTTGGACAGTGATGATGATGTTGATGATGGCTCTAAGGTTCCTTCTGGAGAGTTCGAAGTGGGAAAATTACTGGCCATTTGTTATGGTGACCCAAACAGTGTCAACAAACATGGGCTGTATTTTAAGGTATATAGACTTTAACCAAGAATGACCTATGAATGTCTTCCAATGTGATTGCTTGCTTTCATGGATTTTGTTGCCTCACCAACTTAATTGATCAAAACAGATGCTTATTTTGATGAACAAATTGGTCACCTTTTGTAGTTCAAATGTTTTAGATAGGTATTTTAATATTTAACAATTGAAGCTGCAACAGTACCCAATCAGATTTTCAACCATAGACTCATGTCTTGAGTGGTGTTTGATGTACCACGCACTATGATTTTATTTTGGTATCCTATATGACTTTAGCGTCAAAGTTCTAGTGGAATTATTAAATGTGTGCTTAACTTAACCTTTTCTAATCTCACAAGAGATTGGATTAGTTTTTTATTTAGACTTGAATCTAGGACCTCTTCTAATTTTTGTTTTGATACCATGTTATATTGACACTTAAAAAGTTTTTATCTTTTTTTATGGACGATCTATTAAGTATTTAAATCTAAACAAAAAGTAATAAACACTTAACATCTGAAGAAAAGAAGGAAGAAAACTAGTTCGCATGTCTCCGTTGTCCCTTGAAAATAAATTAATTAAATAAAGGGACACGGCACGTGGCGTGTTCCATACATGTCTTCATCATGTCCTTGTGTCCGACACTCCTATGACACTTGTTTTGTAGTGTTGATGCCTCATAGTCTTGTAGTTTGATAGAAATTCATACCAAAAAAACTTGTGTTGGTGTCACATTTGGAACAAGAAGACGCATCAAATGATATCACAACATGTAGCTAATTATTATAAGGTCACACAACATTTGGAAATGGTTTGCTCTTGATAAAATACTTACCTATGCGGTAATTGGGTCTTAAGGGGTATATTGGGTTATTAAAGAGTTAATGGGCCAAAACTGGTATTGAGATACAAGCCCAATTAACATTCGACATTCAGTTCATTATTTGAAGTACCTGACCCATTGATATTTGACGTTTAACATATAACTCTGAATTTGATCCATGATGCCCAACCCACTCACTGATCAAGCTTATTTGGGCATTCAAATTATGAGCATGTGACCCAATCAGTCTTTAAAGGCTTACTTAGGGTCCGTTTGGGAAGGGTTTTTCCGGGCTTTTTTGGTTATTTTAGCCACAAAAGACAAAATAGGTTATTTTAGTCACAAAAAACAAAACATCACATCCAACCCATAATCATTACACTCTTCTCTCACAAAAAAAGTCAAAAAAGCTAAAAAACCCTTCCCAAACCAAACTTTTTAGCCCAGACTAAAATAGCCAAAAAAGTTAAAAAAGCCAAAAAGTCAACCCACTTTCCAAACGGAGGCTAAAGCTGTGGTTAATCGAGGCAGTACCCTTAGACAAATCCCAAAGGCCTTATGTGCCCTTGCCCAAAAGTCCAATCCCATGTGACTTTGGCATGCTCAATGCCCAAAGTGGCTTGGCACATTCGACAAAATAAGCCCAATGCTCAATTTTATTTCAGTAATCATTATGTGGTTTGGTGCCTTTGACAAATTCAATGGTGTGTACATCACAATGGCAGCCAATAAGTTCCATTTGATCAAAGCCTTGTTTCCCAACTTCAATAGGCAATTAGCTATTGGGTTAATTGCACTTTACTCCCTTGTGGTTTGGTGATTTGAAAATACACAAGCCCCTTTTGGTTTGGAAATCTGCGCATATCTAACCCTACCTTCATGCCACCATCATTACAGTAAACATTTTCTCTATCCTCCCATTTTCTTCTATATTTCCCTCTCTCCTCTACAGTACCCACTTCATTACTACATATACACCCAGTGACCAAGGCCTTCACTACCTCTTCTACACCCTTCATTATTACAAATACCCCTTTTATTACTACGTATATATATATATATATATATCTACTAGAAGTTGTGCATGCCCATATGGATATGCTTAAATTGGCAGTTTCAGATTTGTGATTGAATCTAACAGTTACAATTGCCCATACTAATGCAAACCTTTATTTCATATAATAGAATTATTATACAGAGTCACTAGAACTTCATATATATGTATCACTCCATCTTCTTCGCATGAGAACTTCACCTAGATAGTGTATATGTGATATATAGGTACTTGGGACCCCCCATTCACCCAGCCCCCTTCTGCATAATTGTGTTAGATGTGTCTTTTCAGCTGATCTTCTTTAATTAGCTCATTGCTGAGGTCTTGAAAGTATATAACTCAATGATTTTTTCCTTGTGCTGATTACAGGACAGCTTGCTCGGGAACTTTACGAGAACATTAGGAGAGAAGCTTCTTGTCTGAGAATTCAGAGAGATTTTCGTATGCATCTTGCTAGGAAAGCTTATAAAGAATTGTGCTCCTCTGCTGTTTCTATTCAGGCTGGCATGCGTGGAATGGTTGCACGTGATGAGCATCGCATCAGAAGGCAGATTGCTTTTTATGGAAAGCTTTCATTGTTGTATTCTCTTAGACTACTTGACTACATGAATTGTGCATTTGGATGTATTAGTAGGAACTCCAATGATTTCTTTCTACACTAGTTTCTGTACAATTGAGTTCTTTAAAATTACCATATTATAGGCATTTATAATAATGTTTTTCTTTTATAGGGTAGTTTGAAAATTGTCTCAGAATCTCTGAATACTTTTTGATGGGTTTAAAATTAGCATAATTTACAAAAAAAAAAAAAATTATGAAAAAGGATATCACGGCGTTTTTTAAAACGCCACTTAAACCCTAAATCTAACGGTCATTTGATGGCGTTTTAAAAACGTCGCTAAATATCACAGTGACGTCATAATACTGTTATTTAGGACATTTGGCGGCGTTTTTATTTTTAAAAACGCCGCTTATACTAATATCACGACGTTTTTAAAACGCCACAAAGCTATAGCGACGGCCGCGTCCTCGACGTTTGGTGCTAAGCGTCGCAAAAAGAATTTGCGGCGTTTTTGACACTTATAGCGGCGTTTTTTAAACGCCACTAAAAATCTGTTTTCCAGCAGTGTTATGATCAATCATTGTAATGTGACAAGACGCTCTACCCGAAATGAAAATATTTTGTATGGTAAGATTGCCCTTCACTTCGAGCTTTAGCAAATGTTGAAAAAGTCGAAGCAATTCACTACATTTATAATACAATAAAGATATATTTAAGAAATAATATTATTATTATTGAAGATATAAAATTGTAGAACTTACATTAAAACCTGTTGATACATTTCAGAAATTAAATGATCCTTGAAAAACAATTGCTTGTTCTCTTTCATGAACTCTCCAAAACTCTTCCCTAACTTCTCGAAAGCTAAAAAATAACCACTTTGACCATCAACCTGAAATAATTTGTAACTAAAAAGATCAAAATGTGTTAGAAATGGTTTGAAATTCTGGGTAAAACCAGAAATTTTTTCCTATCTTTGGTCAATTATTTAGGCGGGACCCGTGAGCCAAAATTAGCGGGTCTAAGTGGTAACGCGTTCTATGCCGCGTTGTGATTCACGTGGTATATTTGGTTGCTCAAACCATTATCGAGTGAATGAGAAATTGAAGCCAAAGTGTGCTCCATGGAAATAGAGTTTTGGTGGAAATTCCTTAAAGTTTGTATAAATAGCTTGTCCCACATTGATTTGGTGAGAAGTTTTGAATGGGTTTATATAGCTTGGACTTATAACTTGGGGAGGGCCCCAAGGGGTACCTCAAGTTTGTAGAAGAGAGAGGTTATGGGCTAGACCCATTGGACCCAAAAATCACCACACACGCGCCGCTGCGGTCAGGCTAGGCTAGGCCTGGGCTTGGGCACAGGTACATGGTGTGAGGCTGGGTTGGGTTTGTTTGGCCCAATACTAATCTTTTTGGGCCAAAAATATTTGAATTCAATTTATTTTTGATAGAATAAATTTTGTCCAAATTTTAATTTTAATTTTTGAATTCAAAATTTTATTTGCACCTCTTCAGAAATTCTTTACAGGTTCAGATTTGTCCAAAACCGAAGCTGTTCGGTTCAAATTTAAATCCACCCGAACAGATTTGAAATTCAAATAGATTCGATTATCTGTTCAAATTCAAACCCAATAAGTACAGTACCTGTTCAAACAGGTATGCTACCTGTTCAATTCAAAATTAAAGGGTGCCATTACTTCTATAAATAGACCAGCCCTTATTTGATTAGATTTACTCCAATTTTCGTCCATCTTTTGCTGCAAATCATCTCTGCATTTTGCTGCATTTATTCCATTATTTTTCTGTGAGAAAGAGTGTAGAGTGTATACACTAAATGTGTTCGTTGAACAAATAAATTGTAGTGTTGTATTTATTTGTTATTGATCATTTCATCCTGGGAGATAGGCATCCATATTCTGAAAGCACCGAAGAGAGGACGAATCTGTCTTA